TGGAACTCATGACCCAATTCATACCAATATGAGCCTAGCACCTCTGCTGGAGCATTCGGAAGGCAGAATTATTCAGGATTTCATGTGAGTGTGCAAAGCCACAGTTGTGTGAGGCCATCTGCCACCACTCAGGACAGCGTGGCTCACTGTGAACTAGTAAGGGATCAGAGCCAAGACCCAGAGAGGAAGGCATTTTTAAAGATGTCACTATGCTCCTGGATACAGTCATACCCGAACATAGCACACTCCAGGCTTTGCTTAGTGATATGAACCAGTAGTTTGGGTTTCTACAAGAGTCCTAATCCTGGCACTTCCTAAAGGTTGGTCAGTGAGATACAGCCACTCAATATGAGCCTAACTAAAATCAACTCAGTACAGCTTCTTTTGCCCACAGCAGGAGGAATAGAACCAGAGCCTAGCACATACTGGGTAAACATTTATTTTTAAGTTGAGACCTCACTAAGTTGTCCAGGCTGGTCTGGAATCCATTCTGTAGCCCAGGCATACCATGAACTTATGAATTCAACCTCTGGAGTAGCTGGGGTTGTAGCCTGCGTCATCAGATCTATCTATTCCTGTAAACAGCTGCATTGATGGAATTCACATATTATAATATTTACTCTTTAGGAAGCTCTAGTCTAGAATACATAGCACATCCTCAAGTTGTGTGTCCCTCTCCACTCTCACGTTCTATCCTGAGCCGAAGACGATGACGGTTCTCTTGCTCTGCCTCTATTTGTTGGTCACTTCTCTCAGGCTAGACCTGTGGGTCTCACCTTCTGCAGCGCGGCAGCTCCAGCAGGTGCTTGGCACCCACCTGCAGAGCTGAGCTTAGCCTCCAGAGGAACACAGACACAGCTCGCTCGCAACTGTTTGAATCCCTTGTAAAAAAAAAAAAAAACAACGCAGGGATCAGTGAGAAAGCTGAAGGGACACTTGTCATGAAGCCTGGTGACAGGAATGCAAACTCCAGGATGCACACAGCAGAAGGAGTGAAATGACTCTCTTGTGCTGTACTCCGATTTGTACACATGCACGGTCACACACAGAAAACAAAGTGCAGCACATAAAAGAGCAGGGAGCTGGCAAAGCTGCTCGAGGAAAAGGCACAATCCTCAATCATTTGCTTCTGTCTGCTGGGATTTCTAAGCCAGATCCCTGCGTCATCAGAGTGATCTTTCTGAAAGCTAGTTGCATGCTTGGGTTATGTGCCTTTGATTTCCTGAACTTTCCTTTCTACTACTATAGTTGTTTTGTTTTTTTTTTAACTAATAACAAGTCAGAAAACTGCAATCCAACAGCAGAGAAACAATGAAATATTTATATGTGCATGGGATAGAATAGTATACAGCTGCTAAAAGTCATATTAACAAGATAAATTTAAAAACAGAGGGAAATACATATGATGTAATGGTGACTGAACAAAAAGAGAATATTAAAATGCAAGAAATAATCCTAATTATTTGATGCAATTACTTTTGCAAAGGTAGATTATGGGCAATTATTTTCTCTATGCTTTTCTATATCTATCAATCTTTTAAAAATGAGCACTAATCAGATCAGACCCACCACCATTATTTTTAGGTATATTCCTTGATTATTATTTTCTTTTACTAGTGTGGCTATCAAAGAACTCATAAGTAGGATAATCCACCAAGTTCACTTTTTATATCTGGATTTTTTTCCCTAGAAAAGAGCCTCCGAATGCTACTCCTGGCTTCTTCTTAAGGTGGGAGCTGTGGAGCCCCTACATAGCTTCTGGTACTTCCTCTTGTCTAGACTCTCAGTGCCTTGCTTGTGTTTTTATTATGCAAGGCCTCCTGGAATCCATAAACAAGTGTTGGCTGAAGTGATGCAATGCTCCACCAAAGAAGCAGAAGTCCAACCATTCCGGGATCTGTGGTGATGCCCCATCATTACATCAAGGCTCAGCAAAAGCCTTGAGAATTCTAGGCTGAGCTTGGAATACCTGTTACTAGAGCTACTGGTACAAGTTCAAGGCCTGCCTGAGCTACAGAGTGAATTCAATACCATCTTGGGCAGTTTATGGAGACTACCTAAAAATAGAAATGTAGAAAGAGATCTGGGGATATAGCTGGCAAAGCCTTTGGCTTCTGGGTTTAATCCTCAGTGTTGCAAAAAGGAAAACAGAAAGTTCTACTGTCTGTCTCATCACAGAAGAGGCTCAACCAACATAAATACGTAGAAGAGGTAGGCTGGCCTGGGAGAGCAGATAAACTATGCCTTGCTGTATTTTTCATCCTTCTTTACAGGCGGTTATGGACCAAGGTCCATCCTGGCTTCCTTTCATCATTGGCCATTGAGGCTATGACTGACAGCAAATGTCAACAAAGTCAGACAAGATTAGCCCACCACACCAATCCTGCATTCAAGTCTTCTGACAGTAGTAACAGACAAGGAGGCAGCTCTCTCAGTCCACAAGCACAGCCATGCATTAGCAGGGGCCACTCACTCACTCAGAAGTGGCAAATGCCTTTCAGATTGCCCTGCACCTGCTCCAAGTTCTCAGACTGATTTTTCATTCAGTCCAGCTCAGAGAAAACTTTAAAGACAAGGTTAGTTGCGGGGAGGGGAGTAATTATAGCCCCTGGGCACTCTCCCAAATGTGATACCTCATACAAGAGATGACAGATTGACCGTCAGCCAGAATTCCCTTTTCTGGTGGTAACCTCCCTGACTCTCTTAGAGACAGTTAAGACCAAGCAGGAGAAAGAAGCATTCTTAATATTTTAGCAGTGACTGACTTATCCCACCTAAAGCCATGGCATCTTACTGGTGAATCCACACCAAATGGAAGTGCAGGAAGGAAGGCAGTTATTTATTGAGTGCTTACAGCATGCCAGACAGAGCACTGGCAGTGGAGCCTGCTGGCATCTCTCTGTAAGCCTCTGGACGCCATCCGACAGAGGATGGCTAACCACTCTGCTCTTGAGACACAGACACCTGCATTTAGAGACGTTAAAGATTAAGCGCCCAATTCAAGGTTGTGGGTGGGTGGGGTCAGGGGTCAGAGAGATAACCTATTTCTGCGTGTTCAACCCTAAAGCCTCAGATCAGGTACAGTTGACATTAGACTAAAATCACCTACCCTCTTCCCAGCGTTGTTTCTAAAACATTCTCACCAATAGAAGAGCCTCTGACTGCCTCATCCTCTTGACTTTGGACCCTCTCACTCAGAAAGTCACCAAGATGCGCTTGAGAAAAAAATGTAAAAGCGTTGCCCCACACCCTGCAACCAAGCACCTGTCCCTCTGTTACCACAAGCGGACTAATAAGAAACTTCTCAGGAAGTGTTCAGAAACATTTTGCAAAGCATAGTCATGATGCAAACAGGGTTACTCTGTCTACAAATGTTTTTTTCTTCAAAGAACTGGCCTATCCCTCTCCCTTCCAGAATATAGATGGAAGACACATGAAAGGGTTCCAAGGAGATTTGCCTCTCAAGAATACATAGCACTCTCAATGTGCTTGTGCCAGACCAGTACCCCTAAAGAACTTGAAATGCTCAGGGAGAAAAAAAATAGAGGGCGTCAGAAACGTCAATCGAAAGTGATTTCACACACGGTTAGCCCTGTACAGCCACCCTGTGTGCCTCTTCCCAAGGCAGAGGAGCCTCTCCGCCTGCAGCAACCTGCGCTCACCGCCACCAACTGCCACCGATTCCTTCACCTTTTATTTACAGAGCAGAACAGCAGGCTGCTTCATCGGTGAAGCGGGGGAGGCGGGGAATGAGATATAATCTACATTCTGCTCTTTTCTGGGGAGGTGGGGTATAGAAAAGGGGTCAGGCAGGGAGGAAGCCAAGCCCAGGTTACACCACCAGCGGGTTACTCCTTCCCTGAGGAGTCTGCCCCCAGGGCTCCAGCAAAGGCGCGCCGAGGGAGCCCGAGAAGCCAGGGTCGAGAGCTGCGCCTTGGCAGTGCTGGGAGATGCAAGAGGCGCCAACAGAGCTCTCAGTAAAGGAAATCACTGCCCCCTTCAGGCCGCATCTCTTCTCTCGAGGCTGCGGACCTGAGAGTAGGGGCTCCCTGGGTCCGGAAAAACTCACAAACCCGACCTTGTTCCTGATCGCTCTTCCAGGCCCTCTTTTCTTCCTAGCCTCAGAGTGAGCAGTCAAGGTCTAAGCTGAGGCTTCTTGGGAACCTAGACAAGAGGGCATGAGACCAGGATTTGGGATGGAAAGGTCTTGGTTCTCCAGCTCTGCTCAAAAAAGGAGGCCAGAGGGGAACCCTCTGCCACACTCCAAGTCTAGGCTCCCACGACTCGGACGCCTCAAGTGTATACCTGCTCAGCTGTGCTAGCAGCTACCGAACAAAAGTGGAAACACGACCGGACACCACCACACGTCCCGGGCTAGACCTGCGAGCCACTCCATGAGCAACTAACCCAAGGCGGGGAGAGGGGGAAGGGGAGTCTCCCAAAACTGCTCGAGCTGGACAGATCTAGGCAGCAGCGCTGCAGAGCCCTCCGGGCTCCAAGGCTGACCGTGGAGCGCAAGCCACGAGCTGCAGAAGCGCACTACACGACCGGTCCTGCCCGGAGCTTGGCCCCTTAGGGTCCTGGAGCCCTCTGGCTCTAAAAGGACGTCTTGGATTTTTTTAGGTTATGGGAACAGGCCTTATAGTCTGTCCAGCTGTAGCTGGCCCAGTTTGTAGTCAATGTGCTTGTTCCTCTCACTTGGCACCCCACAACCCTCGGAGCGGCACCTGGACAGGGGCAATCATCACAGGCCTCTGGAGGTCCAACCTCTCCTATCTCTACTCCTCTTTTGGTCAAAAGAGACCCCAGTCCACACCCACCCACACATACTCCCAGAGGTGGAAGGTTCTCACAGATCAGGGTCCCACCTGCACCAGCCAAGCCCAGTGAGACCCTAATGGACACAGTACGCGGTCAGCTAGCAAGGATCGGACAATCACGGCGGCTCTGTCCCTCCTCAACGCCCCCAGCCCCGACGGCATGGGCGACTGGACACTTACCTCGGTGTCATAGAGTCGCAGGTCCAGGAAGTAGGGGCGCAGGAGTGACTCGTTGCGGATCTGCTCGATGGCTAGCTCCACGGCGGGGAGCACGCCGCGCCCGATGCTGCCCTTGGCCACCTCCTTGGTGAGCGGCATGAGGCCCATGATGGAGAGCGGCGGGCTGCTGGGCGGCGGCCGGGGGGCGCCCCGCGCCCAGCCCCAGGCCCCGGGCGCCAACGACAGCAGCAACGACAGGAGCAGGGGCAGCAGCAGGCGCGCGGGCGGCGGCGGCGGCGGCGACCGGGACTGCCCGGAGCTCGGCGGGGAAGCCATGCCGCGCCGCGGGCTGCGGGCGCCAGCTCACTCGGCCCGCATGGCCTGGCCCGGCCCGCCGCCCGGCGCCGAGCTCTGCCCGCGGCTCCCGCGCAATGGCGCCGGCACGGGCCCCGGCTCGGCTCCGGCTTCTGCTCGCTCAGAACGGCCGCGGCGGCGGCGGCGCCCGTGACGGATCAATCACGCCGGGAAGGGGTGGGAGCCAGCGGAGTGCGGGAGGCGGGGAGCCAGCGAGCGAGCGAGCGAGCGAGCGCCGAGGGGGCCGAGTCTCCGCGCGCCTCTCTCCAGCGCGGCCGCCCCGCACCCGGCCGCCTCCTCCCGCCTCCGTGCGCGATCGCAGCTCTTTTCTGCTCGGAGCCGCGGGCCGGCGGACCCTGGAGCCCGGCCAGGGGAGGGAGGGCAGCAGGAGGCTCGGAAGGCGAAGGCAAGGCTGCTGAGCGGCGGCTCGGGCTGCCTCCGGGGACAGGGACGGGCCGTGCGCGCCGGGGGAGGGGGAGGCGCCGGCGCTGCGGCGGCCGCGGGGAGGGCCGTGCTCCCGGCACACGCACACTCGCGCCCCGGGCTCTGTGCCGCGCCGGCTGCTGCGGCCGGCTGACCCCGCCGGGGACCTGAGCTCCAGAGCACCACGGTCGGGGCAATCCGAGCTGCTACGCGCGGGGGACGCGGGCGCCTCGCCCTGCGCTTCCTGTAGCACCTGCAAGGTGGTTGGGTACTGCTTCTCCCAGGTCTGGGCGGACGAGTCGAGGGAACGAACGTTCCACAAAGGTGTCCTAGTGGCACGGGCAGCCTGTGCTCTCTTGTGCCAGCTACCGCGGCACCTGGGACCCTTGATCCAGCCTGGAGTCCTTTGCCAACCCCAGGCCAGGGCTGGGATCCGAGACATACAATACTACTGCCCCCTCCAGGCATTTGACCTCCCTGTGTCCCCAGTCCCAGAGGGCCCCGCCTTAAAATTCTCCCCTGGGTGGGAACTCTGTCTTCAGTCCCAAGAAGCACAGCACAACCCTGGACTTGGCTCGTTCTGTCTCCCATGTGGCATAAGCACACTGGATAACCCCAGGCAAAGTAGTCCTGGGCAAGATGAACCTGAGTGACCCCTCTGTGCCTCCCAGTGAATCATGGCACTTGTGAGCACTAGCCTACAAAATCCCAACGCCTGATTAATACAAGGATACATTACATTACAAAACAGCCCATCCGAGCATTGTAGACCATGAGCACGACCTTGTAAGAAGGGAAGGGATTTAACCTTCACTGAGTGCTTGCTACCTGATATATCTGATATATCCTCAAAACAGCCGTATAAATTATACATTGGGTCTATCATCCATGCTTTACAGGAGAATACACTGGTCAGTAGGTCGATAATATATACAGCTAATACAGGGGAAGCAGAATGCATAGCCACAGAGGACTCTTCTCCACCCCTAATGTTGGAAAGCTCCTCCAAAAGGAGGGCACGGAGCACTCAGTAGCTCTAGATACCGTTCCTCTACACGGTTTGTAATGGGTCATCTAAATGGAGTCTGCATATCTGGAGCTAGGCAGGCAACCCTGAGGAAACGTGGACTGCCAGGAAAATACCCCAGGCTGAGCTGAGGACGGCAGTACCTTGGACAGCTCCAGAGACCCTGGGGCCAAATCAGCCAAGGCGAGGTGTACTGCCACTTTCTAGGCAGCTGTAATTCCTCCCTCTTGGCTGGAGGTTTGTACAAGAGCACAGCTCATCTAAGCACCCCATCTTCCAGCCAAAAAAACAGTCTAGAGGTAATAGTCATCCCGGACATTCTAGCAGATGTCTTACTGACAGGAGGAGACCCATCTTTCTGCCCAACAGCCTGGCTCCAGGCCAGACTGTGACCTCCTGTCCCATTTCGATTGTCTGGGCATCCTTCTGGCTCTCGTCCTGCCCTGGTCTTGAGTTCCACTGTGGGTGACTGGGTCCTTGGTGTTCTCCCTGCCTCAATCACTAGCCTGGAATCCCTGTTCTTGTGGAGGTGGAGATGAGCTGCTTCCAGCTACTAGCCATTCCTTCTTTTTACCATATTCCATTTAGGAGACCCTCCTCCATGTTTGCCAGGAAGGTAAGGAACTGAAGAAGGCAACTCCAGCCATTGTCCCTGATGAGTTGCTGTTCTGGTTGAGAAAAGAGACAGTATCTAGGAAGAAGAGGACATTTCAGGGTTTGGAGTTGAGGGAAAACCCAATAGAGGATAATACATCAGGAAAGAGAATTGAGACAGGTGAGGTCAGGCTGAGATCCAAAACAGGGAGTTCAGGGACGTGGTCATTACAATGACTCCTTAGCAGAGGCTTAAGGGAGCTAAGACAGAATGACAGTGTCCCATGAGAGGAAAGGGTCCAGGACAAGGGGGAGGAGAATGGCATGCTTGAGGACAGTCATGGGCCAGGGTGGCTGGCACCGAGTGAACGAGAGAAAGAGCAAGTATGACCCAAGGTCAAAACAAGGGGCGATCATCCAGGGCCTCGGGGTTGTGAGGACATTGTCTGCACTGACAGAGTGGAGAGCCGCAGCACAGTGCCATGATCTGAGTCCTGGGACGGGCTACTCTGGCAGCTGAGTGAGGATCCATTAGGCAGAGGAAAGGACAGAGGCAGGCACACCAGCCATTACGCTCAGTGGCATGGAGAGAGTCCGGATAGAAACAGGGGAATGGAAATGGCTGGAGTGGCCATTGTTCTTATTAACGGGAATAGAACGCACTAGCCAAGTTGCAGGACTGCAGAGACACTTGATGTAGTCCTCTCCTTATGAGAAACCTAATAGAGCCTCAGGATACCCCTCCAGATCCAGAGGGGAGTCAGTGTCAGCGGGGGCTGCAATGCTTAAAGTCTCATGGCCTTCTCATACCCCAGTTTTCTCACTCATCCTTTCATCCCCACCCTCTCTTACTAATAGAAATGTGTCTCCAAATCCCAGCTTGGGCATACCGAGAGAGCCCCTCACTGGCTTTGTGGGGACTTGTAAACTCTATGGTCCATAATCTATCAGGGAGCACAGCATCCTTCCCTCTGAGCAAGATTCTGACACAGGAAGGTAACCACCCCCAACCCAACTGTTTCCTCTTTGCCTCTATTAGGCTGGGCATCCTCTGACACCTTGGTTGGGGGAGTTAGGGATGCCCATCTTTGCCCTAACAGCTGTATTCTTCTACAACCTGGGTCTAAATTTCCCACACCCTCCCCTTCCATTGTCCATGCCTGCCTCTACCTTCCAAACAGCTGCAAGGCCTCCTTCACTCTTTCTAAACATTTAATTTTATTGATTGGTTGATTGATTGTACATGTGTGAGCATGTACGTATGTACCCAAGTGTGTACTATGGCACACATGTGGAGGTCAGAGGACAACTTACAGGAGTCAGTTCTCTCCCTCCACTTTACACATTCTGAGGATTTGAACTCGAGTCATCAGGCTTGGTGGCAAGCACAGAGCTGGGCACTGAGCCATCTCACCAGCCCACCTCTCGCTCTTTCTCTTTAAGAAGTACTGACAAGCCACCTTTACAAACAAACCTCTTCCATGGATTCATGTTTACACGGGGATATTTCTTTCTATCAAGCAGTTCGGCTGTTTTTATAAAGCACATTGTTTTACATTTCTTCTTCTTCTTCTTTTTTTTTTTTTTTAAATGGAGAGGTTGTGAATGATGGCTCTGAAAGAGATTCCCTGAATGACTCTAAGGAGCTTGTTCCTTTTTCCCCAAGGCATGTTTTTTAAACTGAAAAATTGGGTTTCAGGCATCAAATGTGGTCTAGTGACATCTTCGAGTAATAATAATAGCTGCCACTTACATTAACCACCCACCTGCTCTGTGCCAGACACCTTGGTATGCATCATCTGAGACTTCATGGCTGCCTGGGAAATGACTGTTGGCATCTTCATCTGCAGATGGAGGGACTTGGGCTTTCTCAACTCTGTGGTGTCCTGAGGGCAGAGATAGTAATAGGCACAAGCCACCTCTCCATCCCTGGTCCTGCACTTGCCTCTTCCACTCACCTTCCTCTGAGGATACACCACCGAAGGGCTGGGGAGATGGCACGGTTGGTAAAATGCTTGCTGAACAAGTGTGAGGACCAAAGTTTGAATCCCAGAACCTACATTAAGAGATAGGTATGAGGGCTAGGGAGATGACAGTAGTTAAGAGCACTGGTTGGTATTCTTGAGGACCAGGGTTGGATCCCCAGCACCTATATGGTGACTTGTCTGTATCTCTGGTTCCAGGGGACTCAATGTCCTGTTTTGGCTTCCAGGGACTCCTGCACACATGTGGTGCCCAGACACACATGTGGCCAAAACACCTATACATATGAAAATAAAATAAAAGCTAGACATGGTGGTACACATCTTAGTTCTAGCGGGATAATCCGAGGAGCTTGTTGACCAAACCAGTGAGCTCCAGGACTGGCAAGAGAGCTTGTCTCAGGAAATAAAGTAGAGAGCAATTGAGGAAGACACTTGACATCAACCCCCAGCCTCCAATCCCTGATGACATATGGACAGCAACATACATGTGGCCATGTTTGCACACACAATCTCTTGTGCACACACACAGCACATTGTTGAAAGTCAACGTTGGCAAGTAGGAAGAGAGGCTGGCCGGGGACTCTACTGAATGAAGGATGGGTCTGGGTCTCTTGATCTTCCCCAAGAAACCCCTATAATGACAGTGACCCCACCACAATGGTACCAATGCTTCAGGAGAATAGTATCCTTGTGACTGGAGCTGTCATCTGGCCCAACATTGGGGACTGCATTCCCAGCATATGCTAGGGGTGGGCATATGATAATTTCCAGAGGGCATAGATGGGTCAGAGCTCAAAACCTCTCTCAAAAGGAGCCAAGGACAGACAGAAGGTATGTTTTTACAACCTAGCATCAGGTGGGGCAACCTAGCATCAGGTGGGGAAGACGCAGGCCCAGCCACTTGCCTAACATTGGAGTCCCTCCTTATCTTTAGGGTCCACAGGAACTTTGAAATCAGACACTCCTGGGTTCCCATCTTTCCAACCTTAGTGCAACTCCAGGTCAACTACTCAACCTGGTGAGCTTCAGTTCCCTCTCTTTAAACCAGGGATGAGAACAGTCCCTCCTCCATGGGGTCATCGTGGGGATTAAACAGCAGTTAACAGCAATTGTTACTGCTGAGCCCCAGTTTGTTGGCTGCTGTTCCCATCGGATTCCCTTATCAAGTACGATGTTGCATCTACTGTACGGAACACAGCCCTAAACACTTAGCCATTAAGAAGTCAAGAATATCAATGC